GAGGAAGAGCAGGTTGATTCTGAGACTAAGTGAGGTAACATCCGACATCCGAGTATGGAATCTGTATTACATCTGGGAGGAAGGAGGATAAGGGAAAATTGGCCTCGTTCACAGTTTCTACGCTCAAAGGTATCTGCCCGTTTTTCGACCCATTGTTTCGTTACGCCAGAGACTGCAAAGCTATCTTGCTACCAAAATTGAAAGAGATAATAGAACTGCAAATCGATGGCAGAGATATTCGCTTGGCGTCAAGTGCGATGAGCGTGGATGCTCGTGGTAGGATCGTTCCCCAGACAAATTGACACACGTCAAAATACGGAGTTTGCTGCAGTCTGTGACCTTTTTCGATTCGAGCAGAAATTCTGGGTTGAGTTTCCGGAAACTTCCTGTGGCGGATGGAACAGCGTTTTCTTAAATGAAATGAAAAGAGGAAACCTCGCGAGGTATATATAGCTAAATTTTCGATAATTTAATTCTTCCCGGTCCGCAATTTTGAGAGCAGAAATTTATTATGTACATTTGGCCTCTGAGGCCGATCTCTTGTGTTGTGTTCTTGGGTTTGTGGAAAATGTCATTACAATCCTCAGTAAGGAAAATAAGTTACAGTACCGGTGTGATCCCGCAAATTCGAACTCGGTTATTTCAAACCGAAAACCATTTTCCTTGGATTTGCCCTTCAGTCATTTACTATCGGCTATTTCGAACTCCCGCTATCTCGAACTATTTTTCGTTTCCCCCGAGTGTTCGAAATAGCGGGGTTCAACTGTAACTAGCTGGAGCTATTTTGAGAAAATTAAATTGCTTCTGACATTTCTTGAATGAAGAGCAAAACCTATGACAAAACGCAAGGCCGTTTTTCAATCGATAAGTGCACTCCAATATGATAACGCAGTTGTGTTTGTTTTGTAAGAAATTTTTTGTTCTTGTTTGATTAATTTTCAAAGTTGTGTTAAATTTAGGTGTTGAAAATGGCCGTCACACGGGCCTTCACTCTGATGAACCGAAAATTTCCTATAACACGAAAAATTTCAAAGATCTGATCGAACAGATTGTGGTTTTAGTAAAGGTACATGAATGACTCGCAACACACAAGAAATTAGCGAAGTTTATTTTTCAAGCCAGATCGAACGGACCGCTTTTACAGAGACTGCCACAAACAAAGCAACCATTTTTTCTAAACACTTTCACACTTCCACAACAAACAACAGTTTATTTCTACTACTGTAAACAACTAAAAGAATTTAGATCCACGTGGTGTTGCTTCCAACACTTTTCTTTCCCCTCGGGCCTTGGATGTGCACCTTTTAGTATAGAAGCACCACTATAGTATAGAAGTAATTATACCGAAAGTAATTTTAGTTGCATAATTTTAACAAAACTGTAATATTTATGGTATGGCGTCAAAGACACGAAATAGAGCCCGTGAGGCAAGTCATGGTGGTGGAGA